AATGCCGGTTGTTGGGATGCCGACATTTCGAATGGGGATGGTTGGCTCTTTCGTCCTTGCTGAGCCGACTCTTGGATGGTTGGATTTCGGTTAGCCAAATTTCTTTAATTTGGCTCGGTGTGCCGATGTTAGGTGTGTTGGTCTTGCTCTAGCTCCTTCCCATCCGGCGTTTGGTTCTTCCATTACACCCACCCAGGTGGAAGGACAAGTTGCCGGGGGCTATGGCAGTCGGTTTTATGGTGGCTCTAATTGGGTGGGACGGTTTGCTACGGTTTTGTTCGGTCTTGCATCGTACTATTCGATGCGACTGTCTGCTCAGATTTGGAATGGAGTTAATGTAACACCCTAATCCGTCCAGGTCTGCAGCCCCTTTCGGACTAAAGTATTAACTTGGTAATCGTAAAATTTAAAACTTTCCAAACACTTTTATTTATCATAATAATATTTTCATATCATAAACAGTACAGAGTTTTCAATATTGCTGAAGCTTAACAAATTATAATCACAAACATAATTTAATTATATTCTTTAATTCAAAACCATCACATCCATTCTGACTATCTCGTCTCCGTCTGCCTCCAGGATCACGTCACATCATTTTATTGACCTGCGTGTAGCAAATAAAACACACTACACGCTCAGCGGTAAAGCTGAGTAAGCATATCTAATGCGTCGAACATCCACATAAATTGAATCTCAATTCATAATCAACCATTTGATATCATGCACATAATGTTCAGTTCAGATATTCAATAATCAATATTCATTCACTACGTCAAAAACAGATGCTGACAACTGTTTCTTTTAGTAGTCTCATGGTGCTGATTTCAGTAGTCTTCCGAGCAGCTATCTGATATATTTACAGACTACTGTTTAAAAATAGTTGTGTAAAATGCTTGACGACACCTGTTTTGTAATGTTTTAGAGTACGACTTTTTAGTGTTGTCCTTGTATGAGTAAGACATCTGTTTTTTAGAGTTAAAGAGAACTGTGATTTTTTGTAGTCTATCTATAATGAATACTACTGTTGTTTTTAACTTTAGACTTTTAATTCTTGGTGTTGTCGTTCAATAATATAGACATCTACTTTAAAAAGTAATTGAAAGATATATCAGACTGCTGCTCGGAAGACTACTAAACAAAAATGACATCAGACAACTGTTATCTTTTGTTGTATTTCTAGAATATGGACTACTAACATTATTCTTATTCAAACTACTGTTTCTTTTAGTTGTATATTGATTATTAACACAACGGTGTTTTGTAGTTTTTCTTGAAGTATTCTAACTATCTTTTATAACAGTAGTTGAATTGTATATGAGACAACTACTCTAAAGATTACTAAAGAAATTTGCTTCAGACAACTATTATTTCGCATTGTATTTTACAAATATGAACTACTGTTTTTGTAGTATTTCAAACAACTGTTTGTTTTTATTGTCTAAATGTTATTAATATTGCGAGTATGTGTAGTTGTACATATACTCTCCAAACTATTAGTTTGAATGGTAGTTGAATTTTTTATTAGATTTGTTATCTTGTGTTGATTACCAAATAAATATAAATTCAAAAAATACAATATATTGAACAATATATAAATTCATACATTTATAATACTATTAACATCTAATAATTTAATATTTACATCATCTTCCTTACAATTTGCATATTCTACATCCCTGCCTTTTCAATCCATCCTATTCCTTTGTAAAAAAATCCAATACGAATCCGTATTTCACGTCGGCTTTGGCTAGGCGTTCCATGGCAGTGTTGACATAGTCTATCGGCACAATCTCAACATCAGATGTTATGTTGTCTTGAGTCTCCTTTAATTTATTCCAACGATGCCACTTCCTGCAACCAATTTTCTTCCTGCGATCCACAATCAAAACATAAAATTAATGTCATTTAGTTCATTTTAGATCAATGCCAAGGCGGAGTAGAGATATGTACAACACTCGAATGGAAGGGTGGCTAATATTACATACCCATGATCAAGGGAAACGCCAACAAGTCAAGGGGTTTCTCCGGGAGACCAACAAATACAAGCTTACAAGCTTACCATTGGTCTTCAATAAGCTTAGTAGTGGCGTAAGAGGATGAACTATAGAAACTGTGTCTATTACCCCATCAAGTGTGCTCTTTGTAGCCTTTTTTCCATATATACCAAAACCAATTATAAACCATATCATCATCAGAACTGTTAGCGAAATGAATAATAATACTCTCTAATTATGAATAAATTAATCATAACTTACCTGCATTTGTTCAGGGTCACAACTGATCAAGAAGGAATCAACACCAAAACATTCTATTGCCTCTTGTTTTTTGTCGGAAGAGGTGCTGATGACAGTAACCCGAAGGCTTTGGTGTACTTGACAAAAACCTTGGATGAGGGGGAGCGCGATGAACAAAGTGATTCTTTCATAGTGTGAGAATGGTCACCTGTGTCATCATCCATAAGATTCAGTCATTATATTATATTACAGTGTACAAGCAACAATGATGGAGAACTTGGTAATTTGAATGCACAAACAAACCCACTGCCCAAGCCACAGTCACCAGACCAGTGATTCAAAGGCCATAGAAGCAGCACAACAACAACTTCTAAGTGCAATAAACCTAACCATGCAATCAGTTGGGCATTCCACAAAGGTGGAAAATTCGCACAAGCAAATTCCCACAATGGTACACTAATCTGGGCAGTCCAGAAAGGCAGCAAAACCACGAGCAAAATAATGTAGCCACAACAACAGGTCCAAAATAATACAGTTAAAACATTCATGAATTGTCCACAAGACATGAATCAATTGGGTAGGCCACAAAATCCAGCACCATACATTCAAAGCAAAAAAAGATGTTTGTTAATTCATATTTTCCATAACAACATCATGAACACCTCCAAAAACATAGATTGGGTTAAGTCATGCGAAGTACCCCTTTTCGATTCAACAACTATCCTCAAATCACAATCAATAATCACAAAGATAAATCACATAAATCAACCACGATAACAATTATAAANCAGTGTACAAGCAACAATGATGGAGAACTTAGTAATTTGAATGCACAAACAAACCCACTGCCCAAGCCACAGTCACCAGACCAGTGATTCAAAGGCCATAGAAGCAGCACAACAACAACTTCTAAGTGCAATAAACCTAACCATGCAATCAGTTGGGCATTCCACAAAGGTGGCAAATTCGCACAAGCAAATTCCCACAATGGTACACTAATCTGGGCAGTCCAGAAAGGCAGCAAAACCACGAGCAAAATAATGTAGCCACAACAACAGGTCCAAAATAATACAGTTAAAACATTCATGAATTGTCCACAAGACATGAATCAATTGGGTAGGCCACAAAATCCAGCACCATACATTCAAAGCAAAAAAAGATGTTTGTTAATTCATATTTTCCATAACAACATCATGAACACCTCCAAAAACATAGATTGGGTTAAGTCATGCGAAGTACCCCTTTTCGATTCAACAACTATCCTCAAATCACAATCAATAATCACAAAGATAAATCACATAAATCAACCACGATAACAATTATAAACGGAATTTCAAACCTAGATGGTAAGAGAGAGAACTTGTCGGGTATCGCTGCCCAAGCAAGCCCGTCACTGCCCAAGCCCGCCCGGATCTGTCATCGTTGCTGCTTGATCTGATCATCACTGTCCATGGTCAAAATTCACTGCCCGAACCTCACCTTCATGGCCCGGAGGTCGCCGGAGTTGCTGGGTGACCGCGGTTGTCAGTTCGCCGGAGAGTTACCAGCTCTCCGCCGCCACTGGATGCTGGCTGTTACTCTGCCCGAGCTGCTGGACTTCGCCGGAACAGAGGTCGCTGGACAGGGGGTTGCAGGCAAAAATCGTTGCTTGTCCACTGTGGTCAGTCACCGGCGTCGCTGCCGGAACTCGCCGTTGGATTGAGAGCTGTCGCGTTGCTGATTTGCCAGAGAAGAATTCGCTGGAGTTGATGCTCGGATTTGGCCAGACGCCGTCGGAGCTCGCTGGTTCGAGGTTCCCAGAATGCTCCCCGTCGTCGCCTCTGTAGATCGTCGCCGGTTGGACTCTTTCGCCTTGCCATCGTAACCCATGTCTGCGAATCGAAGAAGAAAGTGGAGCGAGGATGACGACGGCGATTTCGATCGAAGCAGGCGAAAGATCCTATATATACCTAGGGTTTTTGTTCCGTAATTTAAAATAATAAAACATACCACTTTTCAATTCAACTTGCTCCAAATTGAGATCCGTTCACGTTGTTGGATTCAATTCGTCGATCTTTACCCCAAGTGTATAACTTTCATAATCAATCAATAAGCATTTATAAGCTTCACTTGGTTCGTCTTAATTGTTTTGCTTAACTAACATTGTTCAGTTATTTACTTTAATTCTTTATATTTAAATCAGATCAGTCACTAAAACTTGAGACGATTAGAATCTATAAAGTGTCTTTTATTTCTTTAAAAAAATAGAGTATCGTAAATAAATAATTTGTATTTATTTACTTATCGATAAATTCTAGACCGATTTTTAGGGCGTTATAAATGAAAATGACAAGTTTGAGATATAAGTTTCACTTATACCACTTTAAACTTGTAATTTCTCCAACTAAAGCATCACACATTTAAATTTTTGCATGCATCGGATCGTACCTAATTAGATCAAATCAGACAAAAACATATCTACTCGAATCAAATCAAATTCAAAACCAATGAGATCAGATTAAATATTCCAAGAAAATCTAAACTTTTATATAGGTTGTGTCCTATTTTCCTGATATAATCTTTAAATGCATCAGATCTAATCTAATTAATGAGATCAAATCATACAAAAATCGATCTAATCGGATCAAATCAAATTCAAATCCAATAAGATCAAATCAAATCTTTAAAAAGATATATTTACTTGTGTACGTTGTGTCCTATTTTCCTGATGTAAACTGATCAAATGAAATTCAAATATAATAAGATCAGATCAAACTTTCATACGAAACCTATTTACATGTATAGGTTGTGTCTTAATTGCATGATATAATCTTTAAATGCATCATATCGAATATAATCAGATCAAATCATGCCAAAATTGATCTAATAGGATCAAATCAAATTTTTTTCCAATAAGACCAGATCAAATCTTTAAAAAGATATATTTACTTGTTTACGTTGTGTCCTATTTACCTAATCTAATCTTTAAATGCATCAGATCAGACCTAATTCGATCAAATTAGACCAAAACAGATATAATGGAACAACCATGACCGGATGACTTAGGATTAGGTGAGTCATTCAAACAAATACAGATGACATGTAGTGCTGAGTCAATTAAAACACATACTAGTGAACAACATATATATCTTTGAATATATCAGAAACCAAAATATACCTGAATCGAAATATTCTAAAACTGAATTACATCCGAATCAAAGTATTTATGATAAATTTGATTTTGTCAAACTAGTTATGAGGTGCGAAGTGCATAATCATTCAACGATATTGCCAATTAATAGCGGGGGTCTGGGGGCGGCAGCCCCCGGTAGCGGGGTCCAAGGGGCAGAGTCCCTGGCCGGGGTCGAGCTGCCGGGACAGCCGAGAAATTTTTTTTTTATATTATTTCTTTATGAAAATTTTACAATTTTTTGTGAACAGAGTCCAAACTTTAAAGATTATGATGTATGGGTAAACGTTTAAAATCCACCAAAAAACTAAAATACAAAATGCATAACCCCGTATTAAAAACCAATTAAATTTATACAAAAAAACACCTAAATATGTATATGGAAACGCAATTAAATTAACGAGTAGGAGTTAAATTTAAAGTGTAGAAAAATAAAAAATAAAAAAAAGAAGAGAAACGCTGCATTAAGTCATTTAAGTATTTAACCCTTACGCGACCCACCCAACCCTACCGCATACTCATCGT